TAGAAAAACAAATTTTGCCCACTTCCGCTCAGTATCGACACCACTCATTTTCGTTGTACAACTGCATCGTGCGTTTCCCGGTCGTGACACACTGGCGGCCTGACCGAAAGGAGGTCCAATTACTCTATTGTTGCCTTGGTAACAGTGAAAACTGGTCGCAACCTCACGCGTTACACGTCTGGTCGCATTAATCTTGCATCCGTTCGCTTGCTCCCACATTGCGCGTATTATTTTATTGTCCACACTGTCTCAGATCAACTGAATTGGCTGCATTTGTTGCTCACGAAAACAGATGTGCTAACCACAATAGTGCAGCTAAACCATCCTAGCCGTAGTTGAACAACATGGATTTCATTGCTTAACGGTTAGTCATTCATAATTTAGAACGGATAAGATGGTACTGCAACCTGTAGAGAGTTTCGGAGCTGATCTCACCCAACTTAGCACTCTAAGATGGACCGGTTTCCTCCTTATGTGTACTCGTCAGAGTGAGAGATTGGAACCCGACACATAGTGGATGACAGCTTAAGTTTTGGTCACTAAGCACGAGCTCCGCTACCAGCGCTTGGCAGAGCGCTTAGAATATCATTGCTGGATCTTAGTGCACCAAAATCTATTTGACCATGTCCGTTTTTTATACGGAAGCACGTGGGAAAATTTAGTTACTTTCTCAGCTGAACTTGAGAGCACACGGCTATCTGGTTATCGGAGTGTGGGTGGCTAGTTCCGTATACCTGACATGTTTGATGTCCTGCTGTTTGCATCTGCCTTGGCTACCGTCAATCAGAGTGAGAAAAACCACAACACGCCTGCGTCTCTTGCATTACCATGGATGGAGAGCAATCCCCCATCCAGATACAATTCAAACTTAACAAAGTAGAACAGGGAGGCAGGGGGATGAGAGCCAAGATTTAAGGGGAGCAGGCTCACGCTCTGTACAATTTATGTAATATTCAATGAAACATACGTACTATGCGCATGTGAAGTGGTGGTTGAGTGTAGATTATAATGCAGTAGGACAGATATGTAACGGATACCTCATATTAGACCTAGTCGGGCTCTGGTTGCAGGCACCTGCCTTGACAGCATCCAGACACCAACACTTTCATGCCTTACTACAAGCACCACCACGAATTTGTGTTTGTCATGTTCACCTGGCCATTCAAATCCGTACCGGTTTCTTACTCACTTTTGCCCTGATCCAACGTTGTGTGTTGTCCCACACACTCGTAGCTGTCTTTGTTTCGTTCATCCTTTGAACGTCGTCTGTACACTGCTACTTCGTGCACCTGGCCGTGCGCGTTCGATTCTTACCGTTGCTCAAGCCAAACCCATGCTTCCAGCGTTATCTTAATGATTGAGCAGCTGAGATTGGTGCTATTGTTGTGATTACTCACAATCAATTGTGTTTTACTACTTACGGGCTTATCCTGAAGACGTGTCTCAATCTCTCTACTAGTTGGTTATGCATGAGGCTTATGTTGCTGAGGTAGTGATATTTTATAAATAGACCCTATTTAACTCTAGGGTTTAACTTCCGAATTGACCGGGGTTTCTCACCTTACAGTCGAGATGATGGTTTGTCAGAAGTAGAGAATCAGCAGCTAAAGCCCCTCAGGCTTACTGGCTTTGTATTGTTAAGGTTAGCGAGTAGTTGGCACGCCTCTTCAACAGCGCGATCCAAACTGTCGTGTTCCGTAGAGGCAATGAACATCGAACTCGATAGACACCTGGTCGTTTGCAAATACCGAAGGGATATACGCTGACAAGATGAACGTGCACTCGGTGTTGGAAGCTAGTGGCTGTCAGTACGAGCAGTATAATATTAGTAGGTCAGACACATGCCTCAGTTGATGCTTCACTCAAGCAGTGATCCATTTCAGAGTGGTGTCGCTCATCAAACCACCGGCCAAACGCTCGTTTTCACACTGCTGAAACTACTCAGCTATCTCATACTGGATTCACAACTGCTAGAAAAGCCATAGAGGCGGAATCTATCCCAGCACCTGCGTTGCCGCTGAGCCCGTTCATGGTATGCCCTGCCGTACCAGTGTGGCTTGAAAGGTTTGACTTTCTGTCACTTGATGAGGAAACTTGAGCCCCATGAATTTACTCCCTCTTTTGTAATTGACTAACAGGCTTCAACAGATGCAACCTGCGGCAGCGACCAGTTCACATGGTTAGTGACCCTAGTCGGACCGCCGAATTCGGTTTTCGAGTGATTGTAAAACAGCTACAGCCGGCAAGAATACTGCAGAATCAGCTGCATGTTAGCAGTCAGAAATGAATGGTCGTTTGACGCTACGGCTCCAGTAGTTGAAGGTCATGCGCCATGTGTTTACAGTTTTCTAAAATCAAGTCTTCATACGACGGAGTTGAGCCCCGTATTATGTGCGTCGGCTGGCTCACATGGTATGTTGCCCAGGTCTCAACAACGATTTCAGAGAAAATCGGTAGGAAATCAACAAATTCGAAGTAGCTGAACACCAACAGTTCGCAGTATACCCTAGTGGATTGGATGAACGCAGCCTTGTCTACGTTGTAAGATGAGCACTTTGGGAACAGCTCAAGCAGTCTTTGCTAGGGACCATTTACACACCCGTTGTTTTGGTATAACGTGGTTGATTTGGCGAGATATAGTGCAGGGTTTTCCGTCGAGCACAACATTCTCACCTATACTACGTAGCGATGTTTCGCTGCCTCGCAATCGCAACGGTTAGTAAGCGGACCGGGTTGGTGTAAATGTTCCAAAGCTTAGACAATAGTTGAACTAGGACTCCAGGAGCAAAGAGCGCAAGTCAAATTCATGCAGCACTTAACGATGGGTTCTTCCTAATTATCACAACTAAACCAGGACAATTTGTCGCTACTCTACAGATTGTGCCCGAGGTTTGATCTGAACTTCCACACAGTGGGCCACTGTTTAGTTTGAGGTCTACGAGTGAACTTTGCAGAAACTATTACTGCAAGTTGTTGAGGATATAAACGATGTAACAGGTGTAGCAGTCGATGTGCTAATTTACGGCCTGACCATCCAGGGATATGATTTCAATCCGCACGCGTTGTTTACACAAGGACCCAAAGCTTAAACGCGATAAAGTTGGACACCGAAAACCGAAGTTATTTTTATTGAGCACATTCTGACAACCGAACTAATAAGGATGAGCCCCGAAAAGGATTCCAAGACTGTTAGCCATTTGGGTGACATGGCGAATTATTTGAAGCTATTCTTACTAACACTTTCCGAAATCCTGACTGCCATTCGGAGGCTGACTCACAAAGATGTAGATTGGTGTTGGGGAAAATAACAAGAGAATGTTTTTACGACCATCAAGCATCTCATCAGCTGAGCCAGTACTCGGCCAATACCATTCATCTGTCTTTGGAGGTGCAATGTGATTAAAGGCAGAGCTGAATAAGTACTGTTCTCGTGCAGGTTGCTAAACCAGTTGGGCGCTTACAGCTGTAGAACATCACTATGCACAGATCAAGAAAAAGATGCTCGATGTTGTCTAGACGATGGAGCGGTTCGACGATTACACCTTTGGGAGAAAGACTATCGTGTATACTAACATCAAACCGATCGTGTTAATAGCAAGTAGGTCGTTGCACAACGTCGTCAACATATGCTTATCCGGCTCCAAAAATACAACATGGACCTTGCGTAAATCCCACGGACGCAGATGTTCATTGCGGACCGCCTGCCAAGATTTGATCATCCGATCTTCGAACGCCAAAAGGAAGAAACCTAAGCAGCAAATCTGGTACAACATCTGGCAATAAGGACAGATCGCCTGAGTGAAATAGAGCGCCATTAGGAGGTAGACGCGATTTGCGCGGCGTTGCAAGACTTTATTTTAAGCGGACAGTTAGGTATAAAGGGCAAACTCCAGAGGGAATTAAGGGCATTCTTTAAGTTTCGGAATGAACTCACAATGTATGAAGGTTTGTTGTTCCAAGGAAATCGCATTTTGATCCCGCCGTCACTCTGTTAAGAGATGCCAGGACACCCGCATCGAGACCATTTGAGCGTTAACTACAGCATTAGCAGAGCACAAGAACTGCTGTTCTGGCCCGCGATGAAAAGTCAACTTCGAGATCAAGTATCAAGCTAATCAGCCTTCCGGTCCCACGAGGCACACCAAGCCAGAGAACCAATAATGTTGCTTGAAATTCCAGATCGACCGTGGCAGAAAGTAGCAGCTGATTTGTTCTGTGGCAACGGGAACGACTACTTAATCACATTGAACTACCACCGTGACTATGTCGAGATTAATCCACTCAATGCTACCACCGCGGAAGCAATCAGCAAAGTACCTAGATGTCAGTTCGCCAGATATGGAATACCGGAGGAACTGATCTCCGACAATGGTCCGCAATTTACATGTGCTGCGTTCCAAACCTTTGCAAACAAGTGGAAATTTGCTCATCAACAAACCAGCCAGTATCACAGGTAGTCTAAGGAATAACTTGAGGCGGCAGTCAAACAAGCCAAGCTGCTGTTGTCGCAGGCGAGATCAACAAATGAGGATCTATAACGAAAGCTGTTGGAAATTCGCAACAGGCCATCACTGAACACAGGTCTCAGTGCAGTTCAAGATCTAAACTACCGAAGGACAAGAACCCAAATGCTTTTGTTGGCTAAAGTTGTGCACCCAGTTCTGCCGCAGAATGAGCAACTGTAAAGGAGTTTAAGAAAACGGAAGAAAGATCATAGACTGTATTACGACGTGGTACCCGGGCGCTAACCGAGCTACCAGTGAATGAAGAAGCGTAGCTTCAACCAACGCCGTGTGTCAACGAGCAATGAAAGAAAGGTGCAGTGACCACGAAGTTAGAACTTTATGAAGTCAAGACTGGGGGGAAGATAATCAGGAGGAACCGAATGCAGCTGAGGCCAAATCGGGAATGAGATGAACCTAAAACAAGGCACGCAAAGGCTTAAGGTGTGGTTACAACGGCAGGGGCAGCAAAGACCACGCGTAGCAATGGAACAATGGTTAGCGGAAGAGCATGCGGAGTCTTAAGTGACATGAGTGCGGCTGATCGCGAAGAAGAGTAGGATGTGATGGGATTATAAAATCGGAGGAACGAGACGAGTTTACATGACGAAGAAAACAGATAGATTGCGCAAGCGAACAGAGCAAATGCTTGGACGCATACGCATCTCCGCTTCTACGCTGATTGGTTGATATTTAGCGGCGCTAGAGTGAGCTTGCTTGACTGAAGCAAACGAAGAATCTCATGAACGCAGAAGTGTCGTTAGTTATGGTAGCGACCCATTATTTGCATCGGGACTTTTACAAGCTAGTCATATTGTAACGTTAGCTGAAGTTACTTTGTTGTAAAAGCCGTTTGTCCTTGAAGGACCGAGTTATGCAACAATGAGATGGTCATTCAACAACCACTATGATTGTCTTTAAGAAGCGATTAGATATGGCCCTTGCTCAGCGGCCTTAGCCATTGTGGCCTCCTTACACATGTCCCAAAGCTGCTCAAGTAACTCATGTTATCCACACTGAACAGATGTAGAGGGGTTAAGCAGACAGAATGTGCATTGAATAAAATTGCTCCTCTAATGATATGTTTATCTTCTGGTCAATTCCTTACATCAAATATTCAGATGACTTTGTTATACTCAAGCTTAACCAGCCGCGATAAACGAAAAGTATTTGTCTCTTTAGGTATAACGACATGTCCCATTCATGCGTTAAAAAGCGATTGATTGGGAATCACAGTAATCTAGATATCATAGTTGTCCTAGAAGAAAGACCGTGCAATATAGAAATTTGGAACATGAAGCAAGTATTAAAAACATAACTTACGTGGGCTGCTCTGCGATTTAGTGCCGCTTGTACTGCGGACAGTGCGGACTCGGCTAGATGCGAACTGGATCCAGCTTGATATTTCGAATGGGCAAGTCGCCTCAGCTGGCCCATTTCACTTGGACTAATAGCATACATCCGTTGAACCGTCTGGTCCGACTCAGCTCCGTCATGCACTTCGATGGCTAGTAATGAAGAAGTTGATTGCGCTCCGACCCTCTCCTCATCTGGTCGACCATGAGCGACCAAAGATTCCTCTGACTTTTGACTTCTCGCTTCCAGTGATCGTGCTGAGTCCCGACCTGCAGACCAGTCTGGATGTTGGGGATTGAGTGTGGGCTCTTCGGCCTCATCAGCATCCGCGATCAAGGAATCGGAGATGACCAACTGACGCAGACAGCAAGAAGCAGGGGAAGGTTCGATTCACAAATAGAGCAAATCCCAATCTTACCCTTAACAACGTGTGAGAGACGTACTAGAACAGGGAGTAGCAATTCAAGCAGCATACGAAGGGAAGAGTTTCACGAGATTTATTAGAGTGGTATGGAGATGTTTGACATTTACTTACTGAAAGCGCCGTGAGAACTCAGTCAACTTGGCCAGAAGTTTGAAAGGAAGGCCCTGGACAGGAATACGTGATATGCGCTCGAATTGATGGCTTATTGTTGGTGGAGTTCCGAAGGTCAAAATCTGGACATGACGACGTTTCTGGTGTTGCTCGCTGTATCTAAGACAATCCACGACCGGTTTTGTCTTTGTTTGCAGTCTTCAGGCAGACAGCCTGGACTGGGAGTGAAACTCGGTACGCAGAAGCTAACCGCTGATGCCAAGATAATTGGACCAATGAGGTCGTACAGCAGCACCTCGCGTATATGTTCTAAACTCCCCGTTGAGTTAGGATTGCCTGTAATATCCCCGGATTGCGGTAAGCGATTGCAAATTGAACTGCGCCTTAGTTTAAAGTAAACCTTAGTCACTCAGTCTACCGTGGCTGTAAAACATTCCCAACCGTTCTGGGAAGACTATTCCAGTGTGCTGAGCATCAGCATTAATCAAACACGTACCTGGCTCCACCCCAAAAGAAAGCAACAAGTTGTGCAGGTTCGCGCGTAATCCCGTAGTTTGCCACCACTCGTTATTAATCGCGCTTCGAGTGTACAGGAAATTTTCTATTCTAGAATAACTTGGTAAATATATTTGGTGGTATTAGTTATATATGTTTTCATACTGCCCTACTGCCTAGAATTTCACAGTTGTGAGTGTGCATGTGTTACAAACAAATATTCATCCTTTCCGGATGGACATATGTCACTGCTTATTTGACTTGAAGCTTAGAGCCTCCTTGATGATTTCACCATTTTCCCAAAATCCTTTAAAATGCTGATGCGTTTAAAAGTATGGTTTGAGAGCCAACTGACTGTTTAGTATAAGGTGCTGGGATTCCACCTTAAATGCAAAACACCATCCCCGCGAATCGACCATGAACGATCCCCTGTGAGTAACTAGATAGCTCAAGGGAGAATGCATCAAAGCAGAGAGCAGTGATGCAATCTTTATCAGCCAGTTGTGGAAGAGATCTTTTTGTAAAGATAACAGGAAATTTAAAGCTGTTTATTATTCATGTAACCGACTGGAAGAATTCACCCGTAACAAGTCATCATGGTTACATAAGGAAGCAGAGTGGCTGAGATGAGGTTCAACCTCATAACTTTTCTATCTGACATAGATGATACCGCGGAAAGCTGTGTCACAGGATAGCGGCAAAAGACCGTACTTTCAACACCTTTAAATATTACAAACACGTCTAAACGATAGTGATCCATGGCGGTTGTATGCGACCCAACTTATACGAATTGAACAGGTGCGTTTCGTTTGGGCTTGTGAAACAGAATCATTATTAGTCAGTAAATGGGCTAGCCCCTACTAACTATGGTTATATGTTACCGTGATTTCTTAACAAAGAGTTGAGCTCTACTGCTCAATGAACAATGCACAATGATTTATAATTGTCAGCAAAGCATTTCTTGACTAGTTCCGTAGGATGACTGGGGTGGTGACAGGAAAAAGGGAAAATTCTGGTTTGTGGTGGCACACCGAGTTATTCACATAAAAACATGCTAGTCTGCTCACCGCTAAATAACGGCGAGAGCTGGTGAGCACAGTGTTTGTTAATTCCACTTTTGATGCAAGCGAACTATGCCGCGTAATGTAAATGGGATAGAGTATGGTCCAATCCTTCCTTAAAAGCGTTAAGGTGGGGGCGAAAATAACGTGAGAAGGAAGTGTGTTACAGGTTCTGGATAAGCGAAGGGTGAAAGTTTTGTTGGCATGCGCAACCATCGCAGTGAGGCTGAACTCCATCGCAGTGAGGCTGGTGCGATGGTTTGCGTACAGCAGTGATCCACTGAGCTGTGCTGGGTGAGACTTTTCGGATCGTCATAGCCGCTCACACCAGATTGGTCAGTGGTTAGAGACCAGACATAGTCTCCTGGTTCTCCGGCTTGCGGATTGGAATGAGTGCAGCTTCATATTTCTTGAAACCAACTTCTGGTAGCCCACTGTCAAAAATTTCGGTCAGGTTTTGGAACCAATGGCTTTGGTTGAGAACCCTAGTACTTTTTCTGTCTAGGCCTTGGCAACAAGACAACTTGTTGCCCGCGCAATACAACTACACAATTCTCTCAACATACTTTTCTGGTGCTCTGGCCGTCGCCGAGAATAATAAATGGCGCCCTATCAACTACACCGAGCAGGGTGGATAGGGTTTGTTTGCTACTGATCAAACCTTCTCGTCTCCTTATTCGCCTTCTTACGCTTTTTCAACATAATGGGCCAGTTCCAAAATTCACTTTTACTCACCCCATTTTAACCCCCAATTCTTGGCCTTCCTCCACCTTGCTTTGATAGGAGTCACCCCTGCTGTGTCGACAAACCCCCGTTCAACCAAGCGGTCAAACCCAGTTCATGGGCTACTATTTGGAGCCATCGATCCTCCCTCACATTGGCATGCTTGAACGTACGCACATTGTTACAGGTCGGTCAACAGGCAGCCCTTGCCCCAACATAAGAAACCCACTCGATCGATATCTGCTGCATATCGGATATCCGCTTGCATGGCTCCAGTGCTGTGCTCGCTTTACCATCCCCTTCTGGTATTACCAGGTGTACTTGCTCCTTGCGCGCATCCGGCGACGATGCACCATCGGGTGCGGAACAAGCCGGTGTTGGCATTGCTCTGAGTCTCCGGGCAGAAGTTGCTCTGTTTGATTGGATCCCGATTAGTAGCCGGATGTTTGTGGTCCGACTGGCGGGGTCGTTCAAAGCTTCGAAGTCGCGCGGGACAAATAGGTGTCTGTTCGACATCGTTTCTTACACGCCCACAAACTGTGCCTATGACTCGGTAAAAAGAGGACTTCTATCGCCAAACGAACGAGCTCCTTCGTCACAGAAGAAGCACGCACACTTTAGTGCTTGTTGGGGATTTGAAGGCGCAAGTTGGAAAATTGTCCACTGTTGAGCTTCTTCTGGGCAGCCAGCATGGTGTAGATTCATGCAATGATAACGGTGAGCGATGACTTCATTTGTGTGAAGATGCTCGCTAATTTCTTGCGAGCATTAATTTCCGACACAATACCCGCCGGAGCTTGACTTGGCACCCATCAGCCTCAGACCAGCCACGGACGCAAATCGACCATATCGCGGTCAGTTACTGCTGGAGAGGCTTGCGTCCAAAACCGTCTCTAGATTTGGAGCACATGTGTAAACACTGACCATGCAATTGTATGTGCTGATATGCCGGTGCGTTTTGGCGGACACTCAAGACGACTTTGTGAGCACATTGACCTCAGTCAACTAGCGAATACATATGTCCTGGATGCCTATCAAGGTACGCTGTAATGCGGGTTGAGTAAACGTTCACTAGATCCAAATGAAGCTCACTGGTCTCATATTCACCAGACCTTACTAGCACCATGAAAATCCTCATGTGGTATGTTTAACCGCCAACGTGGACATTGGGTCTCTTCTCATTCTCTGGAACTTATCGATGCTCGCCGGCATATTCTGGCTGGAAGCGATCACAATGAAACTCGCAAAGAGCTCCGGGCAAGACTCCGTGGTGGCCTGAAGAGAGACCACGAATCCTGGTAGTCTCATCGTGCTTCAGAGATGGAAATGGCCGCTGCCCTTGGTAACCGTTCTGGCTGATACGGGAAACGGACAACAGGAGAGTGTGGACAGCCTATCCACAACTTGTCAAAATGTTTGGAGCGTTGGGCTGAGCACTTTGAAAGGCAATTTAATGGGTCGGAATTAGATTTTTGCCGGCCACTGATCGCTGTGCTTCTTGGGATGTCCCATTGGATCCACCCTCTCGCTCAGAAGTCGAACGTAAGATCGGATTGTTAAAGTTACAGAAAGTCGCGGGACCAGATCATCTTCCTCCAGCCCTCTTCAAATTCTGGGGACCTGCTCTTGTGGATGAGTTACACGAGTTAATAGTGAAATTTTGAGAGCAGGAAACTGTCCCAACCGACTGGAGCGGCTCCATCATAGTCCCGATTTTCAAGGGAGGCTCACGATCGGAATGCGGAATCAGTATGATCTCCATCGCTAACGAATTGCTTCCCTCTGTCATCCTTCACAGACTGACTAGCACTCGTGAAAGCCGTATTCGTGAAGAGCAAGCCGGGTTTTGTGGAGGTCATGACTGCATTGCCCACATCTTCACTTTGCGTCAGTTGTTGAAGCACCGTCACATATATTGGCGGCCCACCGTTGTCGTGTTCCTCGATATCCAAGGTGCATTCGATTCGGTGGATAGACATGCACTTTGGGACTGTCTACTCAGGAAAGGTGTGCCTGAGAAATATGTGAATATTATCCGAGCATTATATGCGCGTAGCTCGGGCAGAGTGAGGGCTTACGGAAAGTTGTCATAGCCCTTTAATATCTCCAGCGGTGTGAGACAAGGATGCACGCTGTCACCTTTCTTCTTCAAATTCGCTATTGACGAAGTCATGGGAATCGAGTTCACAGGACAAGACTTAGAAGGTGTGGATCTGCTCCCAGCTGAACGACTTAGTGACTTGGAGTATGCTGACGACATTGCACTAATCTGTGATAGCCCACAAATATGCCTAGCAGCGTTATCCCGCTATGCACAAAATGCTGTTCGTTCAGTGGAAAACGCTGACGAGTCCATACCATAAATAATATCACACATCACGGACATAAAGAGGCTAGTTACTTTCGACCACCGGTGCCTTTGTAATTTAGCTCACATCTGGTGGGAACACCACGTGAGCATCGAGCGTGTTCGACGCCTTGTTTACGGCACAAGAAAACGAAATGAACCGCTCAGCACCGTTATTTCACGCACCAGGCTC